CAGGTCATGAAACTAGAATTAGACTACAAGGAGAAGAACACGGGCTTAAAAGAGGATGGAAAAGAGAGGGCAGTGAAATATGTGGGCCATGAAAACAGAAGGTGCAAACTACTTGTGGATGGGAACACAAAGAGATATGCCTAAAACAGTGTTGATTAAACCAGGTAGCTTATGAACCCAAGAAATACATGAAATGATTGATATAGGCAAACTTCAGAAAATAAAAGCAAAAAAACCTTGAGATCACGTTGAAGGAATTCTGTTTTTGGTAGAAGAAAAAAGACAAAAAGAAAACCACGTAATTACAATGAGGCATGTAGTCCAAGGGATAAAGCACAATATTTGTTAAAGTGCTGAAATAGAAGCAATTTTCAATTCTGAATCTCTTGGTCTACATATATTATTCTCCAGGGTTATAGTGGAGATAAAAAGATATCATCAAAAGTAAACATAAGTGTTTCTCAATATGAGACATACTGCTAAAAAGGACTAAAGGAAGTTTACAAACAGAAGCAAATCTATAGATGTTGTGGGGTGCTGCGGGTTGCATTCCGCCACCCAGCTCCCACCACCGGCTAGCTTTACCCGAAATAACAACACACAAACTGTATTCATTTAAATCACTGCTTGGCCCATTTCTATCTAACCTCTTCTAGGCTAATGCTCACATATTAATTTAGCCCATTTCTAATAATCTGTGTTGCGCCCCTAGGTGCGCTTACCAGGAAGATTCTAGCCTATGTCCATCCTGGGCCTGAGCTTCATAGCGTGTGTCTGCCCAGGAGCCAGGAGAATGGCGTCTCTCTCAGGCGTCTGCTCCCGAGAGGAGAGCTGTGGAGTCTGAGCTCACTTCCTCTTCCTCCCAGCGTTCTGTTCTGTTTACTCCTCCCACCTATCTTCTAACCAATAAAATGGGCCAAGGCAGTTCCTTTATTAGCCAATGACCTTCCTCCATCATTTCCCCTTTTTCTGTTTAAACAAAAAAAAAAAGGCTTTAACTTTAACATAGCAAAATTACATATAACAAAACAGTTATCAAGTAAAAGTTACAATAATCTTTATCATAACTAAGGAAAACTATAACTATAACTAACTATTCTTAACTCCATCAAAGACTCCAGAAAGATACAATACTACCTAAGCAAACAAGAAAAAAGCAACTTTTAAAACTCTAGAAATGACAGAGACATCTTGCTGCCTGGATAGTCACCCAAGGTTCCTCTGTACCGTTGGGGCATCCATCTTCAGCCTTCAGGCCCATGGTATTCAGCAGACATTTCCATAAAGCAGGAAAATTCAAAGTCAGTTCAGTCACTATCTGTTGTGTCCTGCAGAATGTCTCGCAGACTTTTTCATGAATCAGGAACCCCAAAAGATCATCTCACCTTAGGCAAGTTCAGTAGTCCTCTCTCTGTGGGTTCTCTGTGTCCAGTTTATGCAATAGTCCAGGCAAGAGCAGTTTCTTGCCCAAATGGCTATCAAACTCCATAAGGTGCCTCTTCGATGCCCATCTTCCTCTTAAAGTAGATTGGTGCTGCCAGGCGCAGAGTGTCTCATTGTCATAAAATGTCCTAAGTTATTAAAACATTTAAAATGCCATATTCTATAATCTTTGAAAGATATGAAGAATGCCTATCTAAAATATATCTATGTACATCTAGAAAATCTTAACTAACATGACTACAAACTTGACTATTATGATTATCAATTAACAATCTATATTTCTAATTATACATTATATTTTTAAATGAACTACACAATCACAATACCTTAATCAAGATCAAGAAATACATATACATATAACCAAATTGACCTTAAAATCCATACCAATGCAAATTATTCATACCTATATCATTTGCCCCTTTAAATGTAAAAGAACATTTATAAACAATATTTGGGAACATGGGCGCAGTTTTTTCTCTCCAAACTGCTTCCTGCTGAATGGGGGCGTCATTAATTAGGTCTTTCATGGTATAACCTGTGTGCTAGTTTCATCTCAGTTGGCAGTTGAGCGAAGCAATTTTCTGAAGATGTTCACAACAACCCTTCAGGAGGGTGTGGTCCATCATACCATATCGGGATAAATGCAATCCACAAGGTCTGATCCTCTGTGAAAACAAAAGAAGAATCTCTTTTCCAAAGTATCATATCCTTAGATCCAAATTCTAAATATCTATGTTGGATTAGTTCAGCAGCATTTATAAATAAATATCTTTTAGCAGCTGTTGCTCCTTCCTCAGCATTCAAATAATTCAAAGAGAGCATAATAGCATACAGTATCAAAATTCTCTGTGTATTTTACATCTTTGTGCAGCTTTGTTTTAACCTCTATTTTGTTTATTTTTACTTTTAACTCTTTGCTTTTTGAGACAGGTTCTCTGTATCTTTGACCTGTAGTAACTCTGTAGACCAGGCTGTCTTTGAACTCTCAGAGATCCGCCTGTCTCTGCCTCCCAGGCATTCGGGATTAAAGGTGTACACTACTACACCTTGAACTCACAGAGATCTGTTTGTCTCTGCCTTCTAGGCACTGGGATTAAAGGCGTGTGCTACCACACACAACAACTCTCTTCCTTTTTTTGTTTTTTACTTTAAGAACTTCAACTTTTAGTCTGCATATATTTTTAACACACTTTAAACCATTTAAAAATTTTCTTTGTCTTTTAATCTCTCTTTACTGTATATCTCTCTTTTTCTGACCACATGAGTCTTTAATTTACCAAGCAATATCAGTAGGATTAAAGGTGTGGCTTTGCCGACTGGATCCAGCCCATTCCTTAGCTTTCCAGCCTCATGGCTGAGGTACTGGCTGTAGCCATGTTTACTGCCACAACTCTATGGCATTTCAAGGTCCCTGCCAGCAAGCGAACTTCAGCAGCCTGTGCTTGCAAACCGCACGAACCGCCTGCGTAAAAGAGTCAGAGTTTGCCCTGGCAGGACAGCCCAGAAAGCGGCATTTTTATTTTTATTTATTTATTTTTTTTCTTTTTTTTTTTTTTTATTGAGAAAAGGAGAAAAAAAACAAGTTTCCACCTCCTCCCAGCCTCCCATTTCCCTCCCCCTCCTCCCACCCTATGCCCCCTCCTCCCACCCTTCTCCCCCTCCCCCCACTCCTTTCCCCCTCCCTCTCCAGTCCAAAGAGCAGTCAGAGTTTACTGCCCAGTGGAAAGTCCTAGGACCTCCCCCCTCCGTCCATATCTAGGAAGGTGAACATTTAAACTGGCTAGGCTCCCACAAAGCCATCACATTACGTAGGATCAAAACCCCGTGCCATTGTCCTTTGCATCTCATCAGCCCTCATTTTTCGCCATGTTCAGAGAGTCCAGTTTTATCCCATGCTTTTTCAGTCACAGTCCAGCTGGTCTAGGTGAGCTCCTAATAGATCAGCTCCACTGTCTCAGTGGGTGGGTGCATCCCTCGTGGTCCCGACTTCTTTGCTCATGTTCTCCCTCCTTCTGCTCCTCATTGGGACCTTGGGAGCTCAGTCCAGTGCTCCAGTGTGGGTCTCTGTCTCTATCTCCATCCATCACCAGATGAAGGTTCTATGATGATATGCAAGATATTCGTCAGTATTGCTCTAGGATAGGGTCATTTCAGGTTCCCTATCCTCAACTGCCCAAGGAACTAACTGGGGACCTCGGCTTGGGCACCTGGGGGCCCCTATAGAGTCAGGTCTCTTGCCAACCCTAAAGTGGCTCCTTTAACTAAGAATTGTGGTTCCGTGCTCCCCTGTCCAACCTTCCTTTATCCCAATCCTCCTGTTTTCCCAAGGCCCGACCTCCTTCCCTTCTAACTTTTCTCTCCCCATCTCCCCTTACCCCCATCCCACCCCACCCCCAAGATCCCAATTTTTTCCCCGGCAATTTTGTCTACTTCCCTTAGCCAAGAGGATAACTATATGTTTTTCCTTGGGTTCCCCTTCTTACTTAGCTTCTTTAGATTCACCTATTGTAGACTCCGTGACCCTTATTTATGGCTAGAAACCAATTATGAGTGAGTATATCCCATGTTCATCTTTTTGGGTCTGGGATACCTCACTCAGGATAGTGTTTTCTATTTCCATCCATTTGCATGCAAAATTAGAGAAGTCATTGTTTTTTACCGCAGCGTAGTACTCTAATGTGTAGATATTCCATACTTTCTTCATCCATTCTTCCATTGAAGGGCATCTAGGTTGTTTCCAGGTTCTGGCTATTACAAATAATACTGCTATGAACATAGTTGAACAAATGCTTTTGTCATATGATAGGGCATCTCTTGGGTATATTCCCAAGAGTGGTATTGCTGGGTCCAGGGGTAGGTTGATCCCGAATTTCCTGAGAAACCGAAACACTGACTTCCATAGTGGTTGCACAAGATTGCATTCCCCGCATTTTTAAATGGCGCAGCTTTTTTTCTGCTATGGCTGAAAACTGAAAAGCATGCGTTCAGCTTTTCGTCAACACCATTTAAGTGTTTCGTGGCAGGACCTCTTAAGAGCTGCAGGGTTTTGCAGCTGAAGCTGAGTCAGGAAGCCTCTCTTAGATGAGGCGCTTGCTTGCCTCTAGCAAGCAGAGCAGACCCGAGAACACAGCGAGTCTAGTTGCCATCAAACAAATCGTAGCACTTTACTCCAAATGCTCTATTCAAAAGCTCTGTCTCCCTCAGGAGCCAGAAAGAGATCGCAATGGCGGCACAGCCCCAGGAAGTCGCACTTTAAAATGACACAGCGTTTTTTCTGCTACTGTTGCCGAATCAGGAAATCTCTCTACAGCATGCCACCAACGAACAGCAAAAATCTGTGTTAAACTCTCTCTCCCTTATTTGTAAGCCTTCTCAGGTTTTTTAAGTGGGTTTAGTCCATCACATCGGGCGCCAATCTGTAACGGCGTAAACAAATGCAGACAGATTGTAAAAAAATATATATCTATAGCTTTAATGTAGAAATAGACTTACAGAAGCACCGTTCCCGTGGAGACCAGGAAAGCAGAAGTGATGGCTGGGAGCATGCTCGCCAAATTTATAGGCAGACATTAGCCCGAGGCGAACACGCCCCCCAAGGGGCGGGACCTATCCCTACATATAGAGGAAACATAGAAATATCTGGAAGAAGGAAAAATAAAATCAATGCAGAAAATGATTAAACAAAACACAAATTTCATTTTCCTCTTAATATCTCTCAGTTCTGTGTGATGTTTTAAGCAGGAAGCATAGTGATGTGATGTGGTCCTCTATAGACATAGAGTAAATGTATTGTAGATTTTGTTCTTACAAGGGGTGATTGTGAAGGAGCTATAATTACAATAATATCAAATAGGGTTAGACTCGCAGGCAATCACAATGTTTGAGTTCCACTCTCTAGCTCTTATCAGGGAGATCTTGGATAGCTGCTGTAACATACTTACTCCAAAGTGCTTTGGTCTTTCTATCCAGCTGAGATGAGAAGGCATTTATGCACACAGGATCATGTTTAACCTCAGGATTGCTAATGAACAGAAGATGAGGTATTGTTATTATATTGAATGGATAAGGATGGGGGAAGGGATCTAACTCACCCTTTTGTCCCAATGTTCTGTCCGGTCTGGCAGACATCACAGCACACTGGGTTCTTCCATACAAACTCCTGCTTCTGGGTTGCAGATATTTCCCTTTATGTTTACACTAGAAGGTAGCAGAAGGGAAAAGAAAACTCATGAAATAGAGGAAACCAGGATGAGGAAGCACATAAATCCCAGGGGATGGAATGATGGTGCTTGTCTGTGCAGACGACATCAATGGAAGGTACACAATGATGTTTTTCCTCCTCCCAGGTCATCTCACCACCCTGGGCATATACAGTGATAACTGTGACTGCAGACACATACTGGGAATGTGAGCTTGTGCATTTCCCATTCCCATGGCAAGAACTCCCCTTCTCTGTGTGCACTCAGGCCCCTACTTTCATGCCACAGCCTTCCATGGGCAGCACAAAGGGGGCAAGGGAAATCGGCCAACCACAAAAATACACAGGTTTTGTTTCCTCTCCATTCAGGCCCTGAAAATGATTCTTTGAGGTAGGCATCATTACTTCCTTTCCATACAGGGGCTCAGAGAGTACAATGCGTAGACCCAGGAAATTCTCCAGAGGCACCAGATGAACACAGATGCCATCTTAAAAGGATTCCTCTAGCCATACTGGGACAAATGGAGCATGGAAATAGAGAACAGCAATAGAGGAAAACAGTTTGGGAAAATGGGTGTTGAGCCATACTGATATCGGTCAGCACATGAGTAAAGAACTATGGAGATAAGTAAGCAGTGTACTACACACCAGGTCATCATTGAAGAGGACCAGGAGAATTATAACACATAGCCTATCACAGCAGTAAGTGATTAACTAACTTTCACACATATATATCCAGGGACATATTTGCACAAGCATGAGTATATACACAACACACACTAACAAATGTCAATGTAAACACACAGCTCTCACCTCGAAGGAAGAAGAGAGTTCATTCTGGAGTCAAATATCTGTGAGTAAACATGAGTGAGACAGGTTTATGTTAGTACAAATTGCAAGTTACAATGTGGAAACAGTTTCATGAAGTTTTTATAATCACAGAATGAAGAAACTATAGACTCTCCTTAAGTACATGGGTGATAATATTAAGTAGACTGTTATGGTAAAGCAGAGAAACCTCAGCTACAGGCACTAGCTGCTATGTGATGAAAAGCAGTCCTTTGACTGGTAGAAACTTAAAGCTTTGATAAGGAGACATATTCTGATATTTTAAATGTCAGGTCCAACGTCATCTGTTAGTGACAAGGTGTTAAGTAAGTCCAACTCAGGGGGCCCAAGGAGTGGCTACTCATGGGCTCAAGAGAACACAAAGGAAATTGTAATTAGGCCCTGGGACTGCGACTTCCACCATCTCCATATCACTGCAGGTCTAAGAGTCAATCAACCAGGCTTTGCAGACCAGCCTCTGCCAAGGAATTCCTGTACACACACACACAGACACACAGACACACAGACACACACACACACACACACACACACACACACACGACACCTCTCATTCTCACTCTCCTAGCTCCCTGGTGTTTACTGAGAGCTCAAGGGGTACAACCACGTTAAAACACATTCATCTCTGACCACACACAGGATAGTGAGAGCTACAAAATTATGTATGTCTTTTGCGTGTGATATCTGTGACGATGGCCATGGACTTGTCTCTGGGACATTTCTCTCATTTGTTTCTGACTGTCAATAATAACCTGTAAATGCTGATAAGGAAAGGGGGAGAAACTGCATTACACATCAAATGAAGTTCCCATCACGGAATAATCCATGCTTTCAACAAAAAAGATTATATCAGACTTAAGAGTTCCATATGTCTTCCCAGGGCATATGCCTTTGAGGTTAGGTTATGCAGGGCCTCTCATTTAATAAATTATTTTCCTATGATTGTGGTCACATTGAGAAATCTACTTTGCATTCATCTGCAATTATTAATCGGCTTTTATACTTTCTTGTAATTCTCCTTCAATCCATATTTTGCTGTGTGACTGAAATATAAGTATGAAAGATTTGCATTCTCCTACTGAATTTTACACATAACATTACTGCATGTTTTAAAATTGTTTTATTCCACTTTAGTTTTAGTTCTTTCTTAAACGTTAAGATTATAACTCTAGATTTCTAATAATTCGTTCCTGGATGGTATGTGTTTACTTCTTTTTAAGTGTTCAAGTTAACATTTTAATGCCTTTGTTTCAGATATATGTCTTGAAAAAAGCAATCATTTTAGAGTCTATTTCAGTCAGCAATAAGAACATCGGTTATTTTTGGCTTTTGTTTTGTGTTTGGTAAGTTATGTCCATTTACATTTTTTACATTTATTTGTCTGCCTATTTTGTGTGTCTGGCAAGGCCATACATGATCTACAGTGTACTTGTAGAGGTCAGAGGACAACTTGCAGGAGTCATTTCTCTGCTTCCACAATGTGAGTCCTGGGGATCCAACTGAAGTCATCAGAAGCAGTACTCGGGCTTCTATTACACTTTAATACGATCTACATATAAGGTGAGTCACACAGTATACCTTTTTGTCCAACATATTTACTTGTAAACTTTCATTGCAATGAGTCATTGAACTTGTTCATGGCCTCTAGTTTCTGGTACACTATCATCATGGGACCCACAACAAAACTCCTCTAGGATATCCTGCAGTCACCCCAAGTAACAGAGATTCTGCAGGTATTGTTCCCCAGGACCAGTCAATTCCAGCATTCCAGTAGGCCTTAGATGGTGTAGATGTTAGGATGGGCCAAGCCAAGAACCCCAATATGGACCTGGGTGGTAGCTGAGCTGATCAGCTGCCTGCCTAAGGATAGGGCCGAAGCCAGCTCACCTATGCCCATGGCACCAGGCCCAGTTTTCCAATGCCCATGGTGAGGTGTGGGACTAGCTCTCCTGTGAAAGTCAGGGCCAGCTCTTGACACAATGTCCACCAAAGGGCAGAACCAGCTCACTCTGGCCCTTGGATATCATCATTCATGGCTCTTAAGGCCCCCTGTAGTAACATGGGCCACAAACATCAGCACATACCCTAGCTCTGGTAGGACCATAGACCCAACATGATCCTGGCAACAACTCGTCCTTGATGTCACCATTTCCCGGGTGGTTTCACAGACCACACAGATCAGGATGGCACCAGCTGCAGCAAAGCCTTTGGACACCAACGTGGCCTCAGGTGGTGGCCCACACCTCAGGCATCCGCATGGCCTTCAATGGTAACAGGAGTCAGGAAGACAAAGACCCTGGCTACTGCTGGGTCACAGATATGGCCCTGGTCAGCAGCTCAGGCATGGACAACACCATGGCCCAGGTTGGCAGCTCGGGTCTCTCAGATCATTGTCACTCCAATGGCAACACAGCGCTCAGATCCCAACAAGGCCAGAGGACACAGCCCAGACTCCAGGCTCCTGTGTGCCCTTTGGTGGCAGCGTGGACCATGGATGTTAACATAGACCCAAGCTGCAATAAGAACAGAGACCCAGAAATGACCTTTGGTAGCAACCTCGGTCCTGATGACCCCATGACCATGAATGAGAAGAAGACCACCCCCTCAGCCTGTTCCTTACCACCTTCTATTCTCCCTCTTTTCACAGCACATGAACCATCCCCCTACTCTTTCTCTCCTGTTTCTCCACCACACATTTTGCTCATTGTAATGGAAGCCTTGTAGCTCTGGGCAGGCCTCTGGTTGTCTACCAGCCAGACCAGGCTTTGAGGACTCTGGCTGGACTGTGATTGGCTAGTACCTTCTGGACCTGGATGCCATAAGGCAGAGTGGAGATGTCTTTCTGCCAGACAATGAGTACAATTAAAAACATATATGTGTAGTGTAAACATTTCAGCTCAAATGTAAAGGGATCCTGGCCGTCCAGATGCAAGGAATACCACAAAGTCAGTATAAGCTTAGCAGCTTACAGATCTGCTTCAGGGAAAGCTTTCCTCAAAGTAACAGCTCTGCTCCATCAGGAAAGTTGTTACAGCTTTGGTCAAATGACAATTAACATATCAAGAAACTGAGAAATATTTTTCCAAGTTATTGTCCTATTTCCCATGGCTACCAGCAGTCAGTATGATAGTTTCATCCCCCACAACCTTGCCAGGTCTTCGTATTATTATTTCTGAATATTTTGTGGGGGTGTCAAGAGTCCCCTAGAGTCACCTGTCTCTCTTCCCTAAGTGTTAAGGATGTTGATGCTGTATGTTCCGCTTAGTGGAGCATCTACTCACCCTTCTGGACAACTTTTATTTCATGAATTGTGTATTTTCTTAGTGACTCTTTTTTAGGCTTTCTGTATTCTGGAAACAATAAGGCTGTCATCTAATACACAATTTCCTACATTCATTTTTTCCCAGGCAGGGAAAATATCTTTTATATCACAGTGTACATTTTTCACTTTATGGAAGTCCTAACAGTCCAGTTCTTCTTTTCATAAAAGGGGTTTGTTATATCTATGAATTTTGTCTATAATTCTTTCAATTGCTTTCTGTTACAAGATTCATGCTTAGGTTGTATTTTGGATTAATTACCTTTTAGATTTGCTTTCACTATTTACTGGGTATCTGCCTATATGTTTGTGTGTGCCGTATGCACATTTGAATGCAGATGCTTGCTGAGACCAGAAAAGACTGTCAGCTCCCCTGGATCTGGAGTTATAGGTATCTCTGGGCCACCATATGGGGACTGTAAGCTGAAGTCAGGTCCTCTGCAATAGCCAAAGGCACTCTTAACCTCGGAGATGTCTCTCTAGTCCTATGTAGATCATTTGTTAATTTTGGTTGACTTTTGTATCCGGTGATAAACAACTTGTCTATATTTATATTTGTCCATGAGGATGCCCACTTGTCCCATAATAAGACAGAAAAACAGGGCATTGAAGGGGATATGAGAGGGGAATACACAGCCCCTCACCCTGTGATCATTTTTTTTTTTTTTTTTGGATTTTCGAGACAGGGTTTCTTCATAGCTTTTTAGTTCCTGTTCTGGAACTAGCTCTTGTAGACCTGGCTGGCTTCGAACTCACAGAGATCTGCCAGCCTCTGCCTGCCAAGTGTTGGGATTAAAGGCGTGAGCCAACACCACCCGTCCCTGTGATCATTTTTACATTTTTCTAACTGACATTCAAGAAGCCTCCACCCAACTGATAGAGTCGAAATTACCCACAGATATAATGCAAGTAGTACTAAAGACATCCCAAATAGTGTTTAAAAAATACAGCAAATAAACTAGGGTCTGAGGATAGGGTTCATTCTTTAATATCACTGGATGTCTTCCAGAGGATCCAGGGTTGATACCCAGCACCTACCTGATGATTCACAACTGTCTGTACTCCAGTTCTGAGAGATCTCAAACTCTGGTGTCCTCTGTGAGCAATAGGTATTCACTCAGATGGTGCACAGACTTCCTTGTGAAAAACATTAAAAAAATTAATTAATTATGCTTACTTAGGACCAGAATGTTTGCAGAATCACATATTCACCTTACAATTTAATTTACTAAAATTTTTTTAAAAGGGATAAGAACATTTAAAAGCATTATTATTTTTTACTTTTAATAACCTATTGTATATTTTCTTCAAGTGGAAAAACAGAACCATTTCAAAGACTCAAAGCATGTAATTTTCAAACAATGTAATAATGTAACAATGTAACTCTGAGAACCATAAAAATCTTCACATTTCTCACTCTCCTGCCCTCCTCACACACCCTAATCTCAAGTCTCTCTAGTCCTCACTCAGGCCTTCATTCCTGAGCCATCCCTATACTATGTGAGCTTCTTCCATAGCATGAATAAGCTCACAAGCTTTGCTTCATTCTGGCTTTTCCTGAAATTCTTTTCTGCAGCCTAATCATAGATCCAGCTTTACCAAGGTCATGGTCATCAAAGGAACAGGGTTATCCTTAGGCAGCTGATCACGATGCTGGGCTGTACCTCCTATAACCACCAACAGTCCCAGAAAAACTCGGTGACCAGCATATGCCTGCTTCACTGAAGTGTCTTTGTGTCTTTGCTAAAGGTGTCCCCTCACACGTGTGTGACTCTTCTGTCCCCTTCATATTCTTTTCTGTCTTATTGTAATTACCAATGAGGCACACTGTCTTCATTTCTCTATGTTTATAAGGAGTTTGGGAGTCAGGTGTTCATCTTCCAAGTTTGTTCCTTTTCAAGGTTGTCAATGTCAGTTCTCTTCTATGAGAAGTACAACAAGACTGTAGAGAGTACACACAGAAGGTTGACAAGAAGCTGACATGAGCCCTTGTTTCCAGTATGTGAGTCATCAGTGTCACCAGTGTGTGAGTGTGTGTGTGTGTGTGTGTGTGAGTGTGTGTGTGTTTGTGTGTGTGTGTGTGTCTGTATAGGAAGGGTCAGTGAGATCAACAAAGAAGAGGAAGATGTCACTGCACATCTTTGACTTGACTGGATGCAGACAGACTACTCCATCCCTATATTCACTACAGTAGAGTGCATGAGCGTTCTCATCTGCCTTCCTCCCCTCTCCATGAGATTTCTCTCCTCCTTCTCTGCCTTCTAGTAGAGCAGGGGAGAAAACAGTGAACTTTCCATGCAGAACCAACTCCTGGAGAAGAACCAAGTGTGGTGTGGTCTGGTCAGCCTGTTACCTGAGCAAGAGTGACAAGATCATGTGGGACTCACCAGGTCAGTCATTTCCTTTTCTCTTCCCATCCGTGTGACCAGTAGCTGGTCTGTGATGCCTTGTAGGAACACATCCTGTTGAGCAGGTAGCAGCATAGTGCAGCACACTGTAGAACAATGACATTCATAGACTCCCCAGATGACAGAAGTCTGCATGGGTTCCTTTAAATGACCCGGACTGAAATGGACGCCATCCCCATCAGACCATTTCCCCGAAAGGGCCATGCATTACTGCATCACATTTGCAGGGAGTGCTTATTAAAATGGTAGATATCTGTGTCCACGACAGACACTAAATCATGCTTATTAAAATGTTAGATATCTGGGTCCACAACAGACACTGAATCAATACCTGAGAAGTGGGGTGTGGCATAGCCACTTCTTTCTGATGGCTGTCCAGACTGAGAAGCTTCTGTAAAGCAAAGGACACTGTCGCTAAGACACAAAGGCAACCCACTAACTGGGAGAAGATCTTCACCAACCCCGCAACTGACAAAGGTCTGATCTCCAAAATATATAAAGATCTCAAGAAACTAGACCGTAAAAGGCTAACCAACCCAATTATAAAATGGGGCATTGAGCTGAACAGAGAATTCTCAACAGAAGAACTTCAAATGGCCAAAAGACACTTAAGGTCATGCTCAACTTCCTTAGTGATCAGGGAAATGCAAATCAAGACAACTTTAAGATACCATCTTACACCTGTCAGAATGGGTAAAATAAAAAACACCAATGATAGCCTTTGTTGGAGAGGTTGTGGAGAAAGGGGTACACTCATCCATTGCTGGTGGGAATGCAAACTTGTGCAACCACTTTGGAAAGCAGTATGGTGGTTTCTCAGGAAATTCGGGATCAACTTACCCCTGGACCCAGCAATACCACTCTTGGGAATATACCCAAGAGAGGCCTTATCATACAACAAAAGCATATGCTCTACCATGTTCATAGCAGCATTGTTTGTGATAGCCAGAACCTGGAAACAACCTAGATGCCCTTCAATGGAAGAATGGATGAAGAAAGTATGGAATATATACATATTAGAGTACTACTCAGCAGTAAGAACCAAGGACTTCTTGAATTTTGCATACAAATGGATGGAAATAGAAAACACTATCCTGAGTGGGGTAAGCCAGACCCAAAAAGAGGAACATGGGATGTACTCACTCATATTTGGTTTCTAGCCTTAAACCAAGGACATTGAGCCTATAATGAGTGATACTAGAGAAGCTAAATAAGGAGAACCCAAAGAAAAACATATAGGCATCCTCCTGAATATTAACCTTCAGCAGGCGATGAAAGGAGACAGAGACAGAGACCCACATTGGAGCACCGGACATAAATCTCAAGGTCCAAATCAGGAGCAGAAGGAGAGAGAGCACGAGCAAGGAACTCAGGACCGCAAGGGGTGCACCCATACACTGAGACAAAGGGGATGTTCTACTGAGAACTCACCAAGGCCAGCTGGCCTGGGTCTGGAAAAGCCTGGGATAAAACCGGACTCTCTGAACATAGCAGACAATGAGGACTACTGAGAACTCAAGAACAATGGCAATGGGTTTCTGATCCTACTGCACACGCTGACTTTGTGGGAGCCTAGGCAGTTTGGATGCTCAACTTACTAGACCTGGATGGAGGTGGGGTTCCTTGGACTTCCCACAGGACAGGGAACCCTGATTGCTTTTCGGGCTGAGGGGGGGACTTAATTGGGGGAGGGGGAGGGATATGGGAGGCGGTGGCGGGGAAGAGACAGAAATCTTTAATAAATAAATAAATTAAAAAATTAAAAAAAAAGTATTGCTAGTGGGTTTTACATTCTGTCTTTCAGGATATGGATCACAGACTGCTTAATTCCATACAATGTCCTCTTGTTAATCCCATAAATACCAGTGTGTTACATGGCATAGCAAATAGATAAATCAATTCCTTCATGTATGTTTATCCAGATATTCACATAGTGGCCTCTTTTGTGAGCACCGGGTTCCTGCACTGAGAAGACTAGCAGAGTTAGATGGCTAAATTGTCAGTAAGTAGAGGATAGCAGTAATTGCAGCAACTCCATATGTTATTTGTGCTTTAAAGAACTCAAGGTGGACATAAAATGGCTGTGATGGGGATTGTTGTAGGTGGGGTTCCCCCCAAAGGTCGGTTTCATCAGGTAGCATTTGACTCGAGTCCTGATTGACAAGAAGAAGAAGGGATATACAAGCCTTGTTGGTGGGCTTGTCCACATGGACCTCATTTGGTCTACGAGCAGAGGACAAGCCTAGAGGCTGGCGGACAGTGTAGTCATGTCGGTGTGAGGTGGAAAGGGTAGATGACTCTCATAGTCTTTCAGTTGTATTATGACTATGAAAGGAAGATTTGGAGAGAGTCACAATTTCACTCTTGTTGTTGTTATGTTATTGTGTGTAGAATGAACTGAGTAGAAACTGTTGCGAGAGTGGGTTGGAACAGCCATTATGATCAACGGGAGCCATGCAGCTGCAGTGTGTAGAGAGTGGGACCTTTGGCCATGGCTGCTGTTGGCAGGGCAGTGACTGTGCATGGGGCTTATGGGGAAGAGGCGGGGCAAAAATTCCTGGGCTTTTCTGGCTCCATGTCCACATAGTGGTGCTGTTTTCTGATAACAGTTGTTTCTTGTATTTTTGAGACATTCCCTGGATGGTTTGGAAACCCAATGACCCTTATCGTGAAACTTGGTGATTTAATGACACACATCAGTTGATGAAGAAGCTTCTCTCATCTCTCCAGCAATACTTGCTCACCTTAGTGACACCTGGAAGTGTCATACAATGTTCACCTCCCAGAGGAGTAGTAGTAATGGCACTAGTGGTAAAGGTAGTAGTAGTGATAGTGGTGGTGGTATTGGTGGTGGTGGTGATGGTGGTGGTTGTGGTGGTGTTAGTGGTGGTGATGGTGTTAGTGGTGGTGGTGGTGGTGGTGGTGGTGGTGGTGGTGGTGGTGGTGGTGGTGATGGTGGTGGTAATGGTGGTGGTGTTAGTGGTGGTGGTGGTGGTGCTGGTGGTGATGGTGGTGGTGGTGATGGTGGTGGTGGTGGTGGTGGTGGTGGTGGTGGTGATGGTGGTGATGGTGGTGGTGGTGGTGATGGTGGTGGTAATGGTGGTGGTGGTGGTAATGGTGGTGGTGTTAGTGGTGGTGGTGGTGGTAATTTTGGTGGTGGTGTTAGTGGTGGTGGTGGTGGTGGTGATGATGGTGGTGGTGGTGATTTTGGTGGTGGTATTAGTGGTGGTGGTGGTGATGATGGTGGTGGTGGTTGTGGTAGTAGTGATGGTGGTGGTAATGGTGGTGGTGGTGATGGTGGTGGTGCTAATGGTGGTGTTGGTAATGGTGGTGGTGTTAGTGGTAATGGTGGTGGTGGTGATGGTGGTGGTGGTGGTGGTGGTGTTAGTGGTGGTGATGGTGTTAGTTGTGGTGGTGGTGGTGGTAGTGGTGGTGGTGGTGGTGGTGGTGGTTGTAGTTTCACCTCTGGGACCTCTGAACTCGCCAACCATGGGATCATGATCAGATTTATAGTACTAGGCAAGTGTTTCCTCCTGTGGAGTGGGCCTTAAATTGAAACATAAAGTTACTTGGTTACCTCTGTGATATTCATGCCACTGTTGACCCATGGGTATATCTTGCCATGTTGGCCATTATTGTAGTTCACAGAGGAATAAGAACATTGACAACTTTCCTCCACTCAATAGCCTGGTAGTATCTTCTGGTAATAGGAAAACTAGGTAATAGGAAGGAAGGTTTCTGGTCAGTGTCAACTTGATTTCTCCATACCCTGTGGCCAACGTGTGTGGTGTCTTAAGCAATAGGAATCAAGAGCAATGACAATAGGAAACAAGATCAAAACAATACCTGCATTGTTTTGGGGGATCACTGGAACAGCCCTGACCAACAGCTGGAGGGGGTGTTCCACACTTGGCACTGGGCTTTTTAATAATCCATGGCTTCTGGGAGAAGCATCATCCCTTTCGTCAGGTAACTCCAATTAAATTCATATATATTATAAAATAGTAGGTTTGGCTACTACTATGACATCTGGTCTTTAATTCAGTCTGTAAGAGAAAATATTCCACATCTCCCTGATAAGTCTGACTTGCTGCACTCAAGTGAAGATCTCCATTTTAACACGGACTTTTTAGTCTTTTCCAAATTCTTCCTGATGCGATAGGTCACTGTGCACTTTTCTGTTGCATTCCTGGCCCCAAATCTGGAATCAGCCATTTTCCCCAGGCATCTTTGAGGGGGCAGTTTTTTTAGTGTACTCAATCTGAGCAATGGAGTTGTTGGTGATAAGTAGTTGATTGGAATCAGTGCATGGAATGAGTACTTCTGCATCTTCGAGAGCATAAATGTCAGCCTCTGTCCTGGTTTCTTCCAGGGCACTCTATAGGAGATCATTTTCTTTTCTTGGGGGGCGCTCAACTATCCAGTGTTTCAAAGCACAAGCATACATATTTTATCAATTCTCCCACTCACAATAAAGGTGTGCACTCTCTGTTCCCAATGCACCTTTCTGAATTGATGAAAATGCTCTGCATCTGCACTGCCCAGCCCAGGAAGCTCTAGCTGTCTGTGGCTGTTGGCCACTGGAAATCTGAGCAGTGCTGAAGGTGACACTTATAATTATGATTAAATTTTGTTTGTTAAAGCTGACTTTATTTATTTTAAATAGGGTTATATAATTTATAAACCTCCATGTGCCGCATGTAACTGAGGAAAACATTAGGCAGATAACCCTGGCCTCATTTCTTCACCTTGTGTTGTGTATTCACAATATATCCTGGAGATCACTCTATAATTATAATCATGGACTTCATGTTGCCTTCTTAAAAATTATTTTGTTTGTTTTGAGATAGAATCTCAGTATATAAGTCAGGTAAAACTTGAGCTCACTATGTAGCTCAGGATAGCCTCAAAACGACTATTCTCTTGTCTTTACCATCAGCCTGTTGGCATCACAGATGCATACCATCATACCTGGCTAAGCACATGCGTACCTAGTCATTTGAGTGGTAGATACACCTGAGATCATGCTGTCCCTCTTTCCTTCCCACAGATGTTTTTCATAGTTCTGCTCTTGGAGTTCTACATTGTTGCTCTGTCAGATTCTTTGTGTCCCCTTCCGTGTTCTTTGGGATGGATCCTTAGAAGAAAGACCCCTGGTCCCAGAATGCACGCTTGTGGTTTTCACTAGCATAAGATCCATCCATAGGCTTGGAGAACAGTTGCATTCTCTCCAGCAATGGAGAAGAGTGTCTTTTTGCTCACAGACTACCCACGGGGAGAGCTGAGAGGAGGTGACTGCTATGTGAGAAACCTGTGGTGAGCATTTCCTGAAATCAGGAGAGTGACATGCTCAGACTGGACCCTCTGCCTGTCTTTGTCTTTGAAGATGTG